TCAAATTCCTAAGAGAAACATATCGCTCAAGTATTCCCAGAAGTCCCTTCTGGCACGCCACCTTAGGTCAGCTATTTAAAAATGCAGTAACTGTTAGGAGAGTAACAAGCATCTTGGAGTATCTCCCAAGGAGAAGCAATTCCTCATATTCATTTGTGAGAACAATTATGAACCTATCTTAGGGTTGAAACTCATAACCATAGAGTTGCAAGGGAGAAGAAGGCATCATCACTTGGGTAATGACAATGGGAGGGTCCCTGAAGACACTGACCCCACATTCCACTGATGGAAAATGGGCCCAGTAGGGTGAGAGAGGATCCTAGTCCCTGAAGTCATACATACCTCAAGTACAGCTAGGAATTCCAAAGACATGAGAGAGAACTCCCTCCTATGGATCGCAATGAAGGACAGAGTCCACAATTCACCCTGTCTTCAAGAGGAAAGGGAACAGGTGCCAGTATGGGAGATAGGTACTGTGGCTAGGAGCTCAGACAGCTCTGTGCTCTACCACACAGCTCTGAATTTTCCAAGATGTGAGGACTGGCTCATGTAACATCATCCTTTTTCTTCCTCCCATTACCTTTCAAAAGGGAGTTTCCAGAACTATGGTTTTCCATCTTGAATTTGTAATGTTACAGGAATTAGTGAGAAATGGTGATCAGCAGCCCTAGGAAAAAGAGACCCATGGACAATCAAGTCAGACTTTTTCAAAGTATGATTTGTTTCAGTATCAAGGTTAAGTCCTTGGCTCCCGGTAAGCAGAGGAAAGTCATCTCATGCAAAATTGGCAGGACGGTTTCTTCCACTGTTTGAAGGGAAATGGTTATCTGACCGGATCAGTAACTTAGAGTCAAGAAATGTTAAGGAAGGCATGGTAGCAAAACTAACCAAAGTAGTCCTAGCTCCTATCAGAAGGCACATCTAACAATAACATGTAAGACACGTAAAAAGTCAGAGTGTGAAAAGACTTTGGGTAGAATGAGCTAGCTTCAGAAATAAGCCACTAATCATAGAGTAAATGTTACTCTCCCAGTTGCATGTCTGTGCCTTCTACCATCACTCCCTGACTTAAAAGTTAGTGTACATTTGCTATAAATCCCATGGTTTGTTGTTGTTGTCCTGTTGTAATCACAAATGCACAAAGCTTTCAGCAGCGTGTAGAATTGTATGCATGTTTTTAAACTTTCCCAGTTACATTTTAATGAACAGCCTTGAAGGGAGGATTAACCATGGAAGCATTAGTCTCCTAGGGGCGCCTGGGTGGCTCAGTTGGTTAAGCGTCCAACTGTGGATCTAGGCTCAGGTCATGGTCTCACGCTTTGTGAGTTCAAGCACCACACTGGGCTCTGCGATGACAGCAGAAAGCCTGCTTGGGATTCTCCCTCTCCCTGCCCCTGCCCTACCTGCTTTCTGTCTGCCTCTCACAAAATAAATAAATACACTTAAAAAATAAAAGCATTAGTTGTCCTATATCTCAATTCAAATTTTAAAATGAAACGTGTTCATGTCAGTGATTTATAACATATTCTCTTCCTTGTTAAATATAAGATCTAATATTAAATTATACCTGATTATTCACCGAAAGAGAGAGGCACTTAGGGTGATACTTGTCCACAGTCAGCAGAAGAATAAAACGCATAGACTATGTCGACATTAAAAGACAGCATGGACTCTCATTTGAAAATTGATTCTATCACCCACAGAAAGTATCTTGAGACTTAACTGAAAATTTTATTGTGGCTCATAATATTTCTGGGTAGCAGATGCTTTCTCAAAAACAGATTTTACTTTTAAAAATACCAAATATAATTAACACCTTCAACATAAAATGAAATCTTTGCTTCCAGATGCATTTCAAGGTGTTGAAATGAATCTGTGCAGCCCTGTGTGGCTGCGAGTTTCCATCGACTTCCTGATTCTGCTGCCATCTTTATGTGGCATGTCTGAAGATGTGAGAGTCAGAGCAGGGCATTCACACCTAGCCATAGTGGAAGGATTCTTACTAAACCGCAAGCTTTTTGAGAAAGGTCTTCTGACCTATTCCTGATCAACGTGGCATAAGTGAATAGGTTAAGAACCAGGTGCCCTGCTTTTTATTACAGAAACACCTAACCAGAAACACAGATTAGGTAAATTCATGGCACGTATATCCTGGATGCTGTATCAAGGTCTTGATAATGAGCAGACTTTTAAAGATACTTAAAATTGAAATTGGCTTAATGATTTATTTTAAAAGAATAAAATTAACAGGATTGAATGTTCCAAAAAAGGAAGATCAAAATTTGCAACAACCATACTCAAAATAAGAAATAATGAGAGTGTTCAATTTCTTTACTCAGAGTAAGGGAACTACGAATTAACAAGTCAACTTGTGGGGCACCTGGGTGGCTCAGTCGGTTAAGCATGAGACTTTGGCCTCAGGTCATGATCCCACAGTTTTGTGGGTTTGAGCCCCGTGTCAGCTGTGCTGACAGCTTGGAGCCTGCTTAGGATTCTCTGTCTCCCTCTCTCTCTGTGCCCACCTACTTCCACACTCGCGCTCTCAGAAATAAATAAATAAACATTAAAAAAAAAGTCAACTTGTATTATCCATTATCCTGTGATTTCAATGAAACATGGGTTAATTTACTTAATAACACTCTATCCACAAAATGGGTTTGAGAAGCACACAAAACACACACACACTTCAAGTTTCAATTGTTAAGAATTACACATTTATAAAATTTTTTTATTGCTCACTTGCACTGAGACCAAGTCTGATAGCATAGTTCTAAGAAGTGACAACTTTAATGTAAATTTTTATTCTAGAAGGAATGCTGGGCATGGCTAATGACAAAATCTGATTTGAGTTTATGGGTGTAGGAAAAAAAAACCCCTCCATACACAGGTAACTTTCAACTATGTCTACACTGAGATGGGAGCCCATTGTTTTCAGGATAGTAAAACACAGTAAACTCAACACTGTTTCTTGGCTGTGAGATCATACTATTATTTCTAGAAGACATCTTCTGACTGAAGCAAATTTACTGGTATTGTTCATCTTCTTAGATGATAAACCCTGCCTAGAAGTATCTAAGAACCCCTCAGGCATATTGACATCGAGTTTGCACTCAAAAGGAGCACCCCTGGTAGATTCCGAGTTCCCCAGTTTCAGACCACAAGGGACGTCAGAAATAATCCCTGAGCCCTTTGTTTTATGAGTGAGGATGTAATTTGTTCAGTGACTTCCCTGCAAGCGATACGACTCGAAGCCAGAGCAGTGATGTCCAGTCATGCGTTAAGGGTCTCACATTGGTTAGGGAGAGGACTTGGTGCAGAGATAGAGTTTGTTGTTTCTGCTTCTTAATCTTCCTGCTTTTAAATTCTCAGACCTCAGGGATTCTGAACTCCTGCCTTCTTTGATCTGTAAGATCACCTCTATCCTGAGGGCTCTCTCGGTCTGGCTCCTTGACCTTGATCTGTTTCCTGCTGACAATTTCGCTACCTGTCAAATGGGCCCTCCTGCTGACGATTTTGCTACCTGTCAAATGGGCCCTTCTAGAATTCTGAATCACTGCCTGCTCAATCTCGGATGCTTTCTAGACCAGTCAATCCTTCTAGAAGCCGGAAGGCCACACTTGGCCCCTGCCTACCCTCCTCTCCCTGGCGGTTCCTCACTCTGTAGTGTATAAAAGTTATTTGTTTCAAAAGCTAGGAAACTTACAATTTACCTGTCAGTAAACAGAAGATGGTTTATCAACAGACTTTACCTTAATGACTACAAATGTTTACCTCCTGCTTTCCAGAATGCAAAGAAAATCTTGGAAATGTCATAATATCTTACAAACATTTGCAAAACAGATCCTTGTACAACCGGAAAAGAAACAATTGTATTCGTTGTCTCTGACACAAGAAAAGTGTTCAGTGAGAAACATACAGATAGATGTACACTCTTACACAGAAATGAGATATGCTAATTAAAAATTGCAGTAGGCACTTTATTAAAAATTTATTTTACAATCTAGCCGTTCAAAACATCTTTATGTCAACAAATACAGCAGCTTGACTATTGGAATCATAAGTGATTTATCTTGAAAAGATCATATTTGTAGCTGGATGCAAATATTTTTGAGGAATATTTATATCAAAATTACTGTTTTTAGTAGAAGTATTTTGATTTCTCTATTTTTACCCCAGGGGAAAAAAAATTGAAACGAGTATCTCAGTGTTCATTTTATGGGCAAGATGGCTCCACTTAGCGTATTTCCCATGTTTGTCCAAATTACAGCTGTTTATCTCGCAACTTTAAAATAAATTAAATGCAAATGTAACTCTGCGGATCATGGGAATACCTGCCAGACCCCTTATTAATACCTTCACTTAAACACCCCCGTGCCAGAGAGTCATTAATTGGCTAAAATAAAAGTGCTAAAGCAGCCCTTTGCCCACAAACAACTCTGAGATGGCTGCCCAATTAGTCCGGTAGCATTCTGATCCTCCCTTCAGACCCTGTGGCCCTTTGAGGACACAAGAAGGCTCCGATGATAACCTGGCAACCTAGGTAGAAACACAGCCAAGTGCGAGCTTTTGAAGCTGCAGTTCGGCTGCCATCGTGTCGGCAAAAAGAAAGAATTCAGGCACCATGTCATCCAGTACAAAGGATAAAAACGGATTCAACCGGAAATTCAATGTGGCACCACATATGGGATACATGAGTGCGGTTATACAACAGGCCACATATTTTTTTGAACAGTCTCCTCCATGTGATGCCGAGGACATGTGTAACCATCATAACGTCTCTAGGAATCTGTATTTAATTTGAGTTGGGGTGGTGGCAGGGATGGGAGATCTGAAGCCGCCACAGGTTTGTGGCAGATGGCTCTGTGTCAGCTATGACAAGCAGCCAGGCTCAGCTTCCTCTGCAGATTTTCTTTTCTCTCTGATCAGGTAAATATGGGCACACTCTGGAAAGTTCTACAGATTCTGCCTTAGGCTGCAAGTTTGTGACTTAGCCCCATCTGTCACAAATCTTCCCTAGGTTCTGTTGTAAGCAGAGACCTGAATTTACCATGTAGGGCCGCCCAAGAAAAAGGAGTCATTTCACCCTGCGAGGGGGAGGGAGAGAAGAGAAAGCAAGGAAGAAGCATTAACAACCGAAAGACGAAAGGATGTTCAAAATTCATATTGCAAATTTGCATAACTTACGTCAATTAGATTTCAAAAAGCCACCAAGTACATGGTTCTCGAGTTTCATCAACTCAGGAAATCCCAGTTTCTGATTGGTTTAAAGTGGAACTGTATTTTCAACCGTACGGGAAAGCTCCCGATTTTTCGCAAATGGGTACATTCCACCGCGCACATATTTCCTGGTTTATGTGAGCGATGACGGATGCTCAAAGTTTATCATCCAACTTTTAACTTTTATAAACACAAGATACCCAACGCCCTTAACCCATGTTTTTGCTAATGTGAGTTTTACTTTTAAGTGGCTAAGGCACAAGAGAAATGCCATCACTCCTACGTTAAACGCATAAAGCACTTTGAGTTTACAAACAGGTTTATATTCGTTATTTCATTATAGCAGTACCTCGACGGGGGGCGGGGGGGGGATGCTATTAAGAATTGAGGGAGAAAAAAAATTCTTCTAAGTTTACAGATGAATCAGAGAGACAGGCTAAGAAGTTCACCTAGAGCCAGGCTACAAATGAGTAGCAGAGAAGAACAAGCCGCCAAAACCTCTCACCGTTCTTGATCACCCAAAGTGTATCTATTGTGCTGAAGGTTTTTGCTTTTATTTTACTTAGACAAACCAAAGGAAAACCAAGCCAAAAGAAATCAAGGAAGGAAGTGAAGAAGGAGAGAGGGAGAAGACTAGGGAGGAGGGAGAGAGGGAGGGAGAGAGATTGGGAAGTTGCCTTAAACTGTGCTCGTGCAGTTGAGAGATTTTTAGAAGTTCTAAAAATGTCACAAGCTTTTACGTTTTCATTTTTAAGGAAACAAGTAATGACTTCGGAGTGTTAATACAAGTGAGCAACACCTTATTGGCATCTAGAGTGTAATCTCGAATTAAAAGGGGACTATAATGTGACCAGTCCCTTGAAGGAAACTTACAGTGGCCTGGCTGTGGTCCGGGTAGACAGAGGCTGATAGAATTAAGACAACCACAAATGGTTTCTCTGCGCACTGAATGTCAGCTGTAAGCTTAATCATTGTTTGGAGGCATTTTTAGGCAGAAATCTGAAAATTCTTCTTTCCTCCAATTAGGAGCAGGTTATAAAGGTTTCCAGAATGTTGAAGTACGTGAAGAGGAGAACAGAATAAAAACCAGCAGCTGGCATTTGAACAATCTTGAGAAACACAGGTCACTCTCAGAAAGCACAGGAGAGAACGCATCTCTTTTTTTCCCCACTCAGAATTTCGCTCAATTTGTAAATAAAAATAAATGAGAAATAGGATGGGAACGAAAAGCTATCCGGGTAGTCTGGGCAGTATCTACTTTACACAGTGCCCTGCGCTCTTTTCAGTATTTGTAACAATATAAGGTTCATAATTTTTTTCTCTAAAGCATTTTAAAATATAATGATGAAAAGTCTGTAGAAACATAAGGAACTGATCTCAGAAGGTTGTTGGGAATTTTCAGTAAGTAAACTCACATAGTAAAAAGGAGGCAAAAATACAACTTCATGGTATTGAGCTTACCGGGGTTGGAAAAGGGAAAACTATTGTTAGTGTTAAGAAGTCAATCCTTGGCTAATTATTTTATGATTACTTCTAGAATCTTGTGTTCAAGTTAGGTTGGAGTCATAAAATGCTCCCCATCGTGGATGAAATGAAACCTATTTTTAATCTGTGTGACAAGTATGTGGCCAATGTGTCTGACCTACTCAGAAAAGGAAGTGTTCTGAAAGTACGAGAAAGCTGCAGTCAATGACTAAACTTGGATGTAAACTTTTTAAAGAGGTGGTTTAGATTTTTTAAATTATGAAAATGGTTTTAGATTTTTAAAATGCTTAAAAAAACATTTAATTTCAGTATGCATTGTATTTCTCTTAAGAAAGATCTTAAGAAAAGTGTGTGTGTGTGTGTGTGTGTGTGTGAGAGAGAGAGAGAGAGAGAGAGAGAGAGGGAGACAGGGAGAGGGAGGAGGGAGAACATACTTGCATGCATGTGAGGAATTTAAACATTTCAAATCTGAAACCATTTCAGGTGAGAAGTCATGGGCACAGTGTTCTGTAGTAGAAAGAGCCACTTTAAGAAAAAAAAAAGTATCCAATTCTGTTTCTGCTTTTCAGTTACTAGCATTCTGTTTCAAATCCTGCTTCAAGTTATAGCCCCCAAACTCTCACTCATATTGAAAGTATAATGTCTCATGTGAGAAGAAAGCCAAGTGTTAGTAGCCTTATTCTAGTCATTAAATTTCTAAGTGTGAATCCATATGAAAAATCCTATCCTAAAGTGAACCCTATGTGAAAAGCAGTTGAGATGATTTTAAAATGTAAACTTTTGACAAAAAAAGAGAGTAAGGTGTAAAAATGTAAAAGGAGCAAATTAAAGAATTCAGTGACATTCTATCCTTTTAGATCTTAGAAGCATATGTTTTATAAAAGCAAAACAGCACTGTCCAATGGAATAAGTCTAAAAAAAACCCCAACATTCTCGTTAACAGTACACACAAAAGACTCTTCCATTGCATAAGAAAAGTAAGGAAAATACTGCCTTGGGGGGAATAGTTCTCTTGTATTTAGTGAAGGCAAAGGTCACCTGAAAATGTGCGTATTTATAAACCATAAGGTGAAAAGATAGCATAGCTGTTTATATCTTAATTGTAAAGTTTTAGAAGGCATCCTTTTTCTGTTTTGGCTCTACATCCTATTACAATAACCAAACTAAATCTGTGGTCCTTTCCTGTATTTTTTTTTTTTTAACCAGTTTCTCCTGAAAAATGCATCACAAAGCTCGGTTACCTTAATTCTTGGACTAATTTATTAATTTTAAGACTAATATTCAGATATAATATCATCAAGATCTATAAATGAGGGCACCTCTGAAAGCGTATAATAGACTTGTAAGAAAAAAAAATCCACGGCAAAAATACATAAAAAAGAATTATACATACAAATTCCTATAAATGCTGACACATGAAATATTAACTTATAAAACTTGGAGCGGGAATACTTGAGGATGTTCAGTCTAAAAACATATGTAAAAAGTAATTACAGGAAATAACATGTAAGGCGTAGGTTATCTTTTAAGCTGTACTAAGAACAATTTGATATACTAACAGCATTACCACTGAGCTGACAATGTTTCAGAGTTTTTCCAGAAGTTGTTTGTAAAATAAATAATTATAGCTATGTTATAGAGTATCATATTAAAATATTTCAACCAGATGTCTGTTTTCCTTTGCAACTAAAGGTAACTTGTCACAGTAACTTTTGTAATGGTTAAGAATTTGTAAACAAAGACTAACAGAGATAATGAGGCCTAACCTGAAGCAAAGTTAAAAACCGTTAAATTTTGATGGTGGGAATAGCATTATAAAACCTTCACCATTCTCTTCAAAAGAATATAAACATTTTCTTTCTTTCCTTCCTTCCTTCTTTCTTTCTTTCTTTCTTTTTTTCTTTTCTTTTTTTTTTTGTATCTACATGAGATGATGGACGTGAATGAAATGTATGGTGGTAACCATTCCACAATAAACGCATGTCAAGTCATTATGCGGTACTGTGGTTCGTAAGCGGACACAGTACCGTCAGTCATATCTCAATAAAACCGAAAAACAAGCACAACTTCACCTAAAATTCACCAGAAGGCGGGGAGAGATTAGTAATTTGATGGTGAACTCACTGAAGAGATCTGTGTCATATACAGAAAATAAATCCATTTACATAAATACTTCTATTTCTTCCATTTTCATAATCTGCACATTTTGATAGCCTCTCACGTGGAAAACTACTTGATTAACATTTGATACAAATCTGACCGCTACTGAACTTCAAAAATTAGGGAGTTTGGATGTAAACCTATTTTCTCTGTGGAGCTTCCCCTGTATACGGTACAATCGTATTGACTCAAGGAGTAATACTGAAGCCTGGAACTGTTCAGTCAGCATTTTAAACTATTATGAGCTACCTTCTGAACCATTGCCAAGTTAATAGACAATGAAAGATAATGAGCTTGAAATTGGGTGTTAAATTGCATTTTTGGTTCTCTCCCTTTTTCTTGAAGTTTAACTGTTTCCTGCAGAAACAAAGTCCTGTTTTGATGTATCACTATGTAAATATGTATTTTAGGCCATGAAAAGAGAAAGGAGAGAAAAAAGGCAGCAAACTGTATTTCATGTAGGAAGGTTATACATTAACATAGGAAAATTAAAATATACTGGATTATAAAACTGCTAGATTGTAAACTATACTGAATTTATGTAAAATGAAGATGCTACATTCAAAGAATATAAAAAGGTATATTACTCATGGCCTAGAGCCACCTTCCAAACTCATAAAGCAGATTTATCCCAGTTCAATTACTTAGACTTTTAGCAGGGCCTCTTTGTGTTGTCATTTCAACAATGTAAAATTCTTGATTCAAACAACGGAAAAAAAAAAGATAATGAAGGAGGGGACTGCACGATGATGCTCTTTAAACTATTTTCTTTCTGCCTTTGCCATTCAGAGAGGAGACGGGCAGTGTCATTCTAAACAAACTGAGGATTTTTATGTCATTTTATTAAACCGGATAAGGGAAACATTTGATTCTTGAAAATCATCTTCAAAGTAGTTAAAAAATGAACACCAAACTTCACGAATGTCATTCACCTGAATTTTTGAGGCCTGAAGATTTCATTATGATGGGAAGAAAGGCTTATCCTCATTAGTATAATTGTGGAATCTTTCCTTTACTTCCTTTTAAACTAATGAGTTACATTAATCCAGGTTCATTTTTATAAGCCTCTTGGGGCTAAATGTAAAGGACAGTCATCTTAGAAAACAATAAATTAAAAAAAAGCATGTACCATGCATTAAGTGCACGTATTTCATAAGACCTAGGTTAATACAACTGGCATCCAGTTTAATTAATCCTTGTTAGTGTAACAACTAATATCCCTCCCTAGCATGTTTCCTTTAAACATTAGTATGTTAATTAAATGTTTTTTTTAAAAAGATTTTTCTTTGTACTTCAATATGGCATTTATACCACGTAAATCTCTCCTCAATATCTACCTTATAAAGATGTTTTCTTATAATATCTGGCCTCTTGCAGAAATTCTGGAGCCTTTTTGAAAGCTGTTCAGGTGTAGAATACAGATATTCAGCTGCAGGAAAAACAGATACATTTTTAATGAAACAAAAACCTCAAAGCACACACTCGATATTAGTCACTTTACTAATTAAAAATGCATATTGCTCTGTGCTGCCTCGTGTTTTACATTATTTAAGCATGATTTTATAAGGTTACCTCAGCTCACAAGGATGCTTAATGCTAAATAAGACTGTGTAGTTGTGCTGTTTAGACATCTCCTTTGGGTGATTAAAATACATTATTCTAATGTAACACAATGCATATGTGATATATTTAGTGATGGGAATTTTTTCAAAGAACTGGTACTATAGCCGTATGTACCCTGTACAAGAGTTGCATATTATTAACTAGTCAATTGTTTAAATAATTTGGTGTGATTTCCAGTCCTCGATTTTTCTCTGTGTATATCATTAGAAAAAATCTGTAAGCAATTGCAGCAACACTGACCTGCTTATAAAAATCCATCATTATGGGATGTGTATGCTAACAATGAAGAATGCTATTTGAAAACTTGCTTTTTTGTTATCTTAAAAGAACAGATGGTAAATATAAGCTTACTCTAATGTATTAAAACACATAAAATTTTCCTTAACACTAACATGTTGACTTGCCAAATAAACAATTGCTCCCGCCTAAGTTTATTTTCAAACTTTCTAATTTAGCATGAATCATGTATTAAATCTCAACCAAGATGAAAGTACATTAAAGAGGCTACCTGGAAATATTTCAGGATAAACCAAATCTTTGGGACAAAGTGGGTAGCAACCACAATACACAGCTTCCAACCTAAAGAAATTTTAGAGAAGATAAAAAAAATATTAAAAGGACATTACTCTGATAGCCAGAAAGTGGTTTTGTTTGCCTAAGTTAACAGTATGAGCCCTGAGTTAACTGGGACGAAAAACGTGGTCGGCAGTCCAAGCCTTAAAGCCAAAGTTGCTCTTTTAAAAGATTTTATTGATCATATATGAATTTCATAGAACAGAACCAACAGCATATGTTTTGTTCACTGAATTAATCAAAGCGCAGCTCTGCATTTTTTTTTTTTGTTTTTAAAATACTGTTTAACACATTTTATAATCAGCAGATAAACACATGTAACAACATGGTAAAGTATGGACAGCTTTTCTTAATAATGCTGCAAAGCCCCAGAATGTTCATTTTTCAAAAATGTTTAAATAAAATAGCAAATACTTAACTTTAACATTGTAGCCGTAGAAATGATCGAGGCACTTTTAAAAGCATCAGAAAAAAAATTTACAATCTGTTGTTGGGGCATTTTTATATTTTAAGCTCATGCTTCAAAATAATTTGCTATTTTTGTAGAATGCAGAATAATTCCCCTTTTACTGAAAAATCCTCATGGAGATTACCTTAATGAAAATTTTACTTTCTTAGCCAAAAATTCAGCTCATTTTCCATTTTATCAGAAAAGAATACTTTCTTATTAAACAAATAAGCAAGAAAGTTTCACTTTGAGAGGATTTCTCCAAGGAACACCTATAGGAAGTTGGTTTTTTTTTTTTTTTCATGTCATAGTAGTAAGGGTTAAGCAGAGAGAAGGTATCGCATCTCAAAGGTTGTTGGCCCTGTATAATGGCTATTGATCTGACATATAATAAACCTTAAAGATACCACTGTAATTTCTGTTGGCTAGATATTACACAGTGAAATTCAAAGCACTCTCTAAAATATGTTTATTTTATGAGAGACTTTGAATTGCATCCAAAATGTTGACCAAAGGCGGATTTTTATTTTGAACTGCAGATTTTTTTTCAACCCAAGAATAATTTGAAGTTATGTCAATGTTTACCTTGTTTGTTTACAGTGACAAAGCACATGCAATTTAAGCTGTTTTTAAGTGGGTGATGTTTTCTCTATTTTATTATGTTGACTGAAATTAGTTTAAATGAAAGGTATTTACTTTGAGCTGCAAAGTTTGGAAAAATACTGAGTTCAAAGTTTTGCTTGAGAACTGACAAGAGTTACAAGATAACATAGTGAAAAGGCACAGGATCTAGTTACCCATTATTAATTTCAAAATCCAAACTAATATCTAATAGATTTTTTTCTCTACAGACGTAGGGTATGCATAGGAATTCTTATCCCAAATACAGCTATAAACCACATGGCAACTGCATTATAAAACAGTGTCTAAAGTTTGAGCACATAAACCAGTGAGACTCTTTATGAACCAAAAGAAAATACGCACTTTATCTGAA